TATAGCTAAAATCTAACGATGGTTATATAATAGAAGCTGCATTCTGGCACGATAAGCTCTATGTTTTATATTCAATTAACGTATGATCTGATTAGTCGACTAATCAAAAAATAATAATCGGTGATTAATCGATTATAAAAATAATAATTTGTGGCAGCCCTAGTGATTGGAATATTTTATTATATAATAATTATAACTAATGTTTTTCTAGTGAATTGGATGTTTTATGCAAGTAAATGCATAAGGACATTTAGAACCATTGCTCAGAATAACAAATCAACCTGGTAAAAATAGACAAACAAGTTCAGTCTTTAACTTTAATAAGTTGTTGTAGTTGAAATAGTTSAAAATAATGTATGTGTTAAAATGAAAGCTCATTTTAATAGTTTCTTCTGCTTCTTTTAGAGAAAAATGATGGCGAGAGAGCTGGAGAATTTGCATGTCATGTGAAAACGCAGTGCTAATACTTAGTTCTGAAAGATGTTTGCTGAATGGCTAAAAAAGTAGCTGAAATAGCTAAAATTAGCACAAGGAAACAGAAAGAGCACATTTGCTGAATTAAGGATGCAGAATTTAAAATGATCACAAAAATGTGAAATTAGCTGAAACGTACTTATATTAGCTAAAAAGTAGCTAAAACACAGAAAACAGACGGAATTAGCAGAAAAKAGCTGGGAGAGGTTAAAATTTGCAGAGGAATAGTAGAAAAGGTCAGAATAATAGCTAATAAATAAAGAAAAACATGTTAAAATCAACCAGATAGAAGCCAAAGGAAGCTGAAACAAGCAGAACCAGAACAAAAGGTAAAAAGTGCAGTAAAGGTGAAGACAGCTCTGCTCATTTTCAGTGAGAAACAATGGCAGAAAAAGCTAAAGTATAAATTGCGGAAGAACTAAAGTCATAGCTGGAGCGCCCTGAAGGTGTTGAATGTTCGAATATCTGAATTGCGGAAGTAGCACAAAAATTGCAGAACGAGATACGTGCCGAAAAACATGGATCTCAACAGTTTGACAAGCATCAATTCCATGTACTTCCTCCACTCCCTGGATTTAGGATTCATCATGTGTCTTGCAGTTCAGCATCTCTGCTCAAAAAGCACAAAAAAGAGTCAACTTTTTCCCTATTTTTCCAACTTGACCTCATTTTTTCCTCACTTCTCAAGGACACACCTTGAATAGTGAACTAGAAACTGTCCTAAAAATCACACAACTTGACACTAAAGGTGAAATTGGTTCTCGAGTTCAGTTCATCTCCTGGAGGAGTTTAGAAAGCAACAACCCGGTACGCTTACAACAGGAAACAGGAAGCGAAAAATGAAAGGAGACAGGAAGAAAGGCGAATTACTAAGAAGCGTTTTAATGTGGTTATTTTTAAATCCCTAATTGTTTGACCAGAGTAAACAAGACTTGAGCAGTGGGCTGAATCATTTCCCCCTCTGCATGCGTCAAACTCAACCGTGATGAAATCAATACAGACAGGAAGCTGGCGTTTTGGAATCAATGGACTATTAGGAACAAATGGTTTCAGCGTCATAAATTTATCATCTATTACATCATGCTTATAGGATGAAAAAAACATTTGATTTTCAGTTTCTGGTTTTATAAAAGAACAACTGTAGATAAATTGAACAATTTACAGATATAGTCGAGTATTCAACAAGAAAAAGGGGAAAATACAGATTTAATCTCAGCTTTTAAAGCGTTTGCTTTAAAAAC